CCAAAGCCCATTTTGGAGGGGCCCTCGCCCAATCTTGTCCCTTGAGGCGCCCTTGCTGCACGTGACCCTCTCTGGGTCTACTCGGGAGATTCATCACATGAGATTCATTGTGCATCATCCATGTGGTACTACTTGGGACCATGCATACCCACATCCACATCCATGTGATACTATTTGGGGATCTAGGCTCTGGGCTCTGATACCACTTGTCAGAACAAGTACATACTTTTTTACTATATCTTTACACTAGTATGATATTGTCCACTTTGGGCCTAAGCCCTCATGGTTTTGTTTTTGGACATCATCCAAAAGGCCTCACACTAATAGAGATCTACCATACTTATATGGCTTTAATCCTCCCCGATTCTAGTCAATGTGAGACTTTGTTTGCACATTGCTATAGGGAATTCCTCCAAGCGGACAATTCTTGTTGTCTAAATGGAAATTTAACCAGCGCCACGCTGGCTACCAGCTACTGTGCTCTAGGCAACTTAATAGGCAGTCTAAGAACCCATACTATTATTGACATAGTGGATCATTATTTCAACTCTATAGTATTTTTGAATATCACTAAATAACATTCAAAAACTGTGAATTAAGTATGATGATAGTATAGTGACGTGCTTCTATTCGTTGCATTTGAGTCAGGTCTTGAGGTACAAAAGCCCAATCTGCGACATAAACTAATCATAGAAATTGTATGAAATCTAGATAGCATTGTGAAGCAGTTACAACACACAACAAATGGTGAAAGATCACAGCACAGAAAATGTTTGGAAGATTTCAAATTAGAAACCTATCCTTTTTCACTCTCTAATACCCATTCTCCTCTTTCAATTTCCAAGAGTAATTCAAATAACACGCATAGTGTGACTGTTACAATCATCCAAATCATATCACATAATAGAGCTTCTTTTCATAGGGTGTCATAACCAAATTACAGATTGCATAAAAAACGTGGTAGCAAATAATATGTTAGTATATATATACATAGGGCTTGTCTTTTTATATCCCTTCATTCGTCAATTCAATTCTCGTAATTCTAAATGTCATATCCTTCTACCTCTGTCGATTTTATTAACACTGTCCCTACTAGCCGAGACTTAACAAGAATACTAGATAGTATAAGAGAAGCTGATATTGTAAGAAAATTCCTTCAAGTGGATAATTCTTGTTGTCGAAGAGAAAATTTACCCAGCGCCACGCTGGCTACTGACTAATGTACTCTAAGTAAGTTAATAAGCAGTCTAAGAACCCATACTATAATTCACATAATGGATCATTATTTCAACTCTATAGTATTATTGAATTTTACTAAAAAACATTCAAAAACTATGAATTAAGTATGTTGATAGTGTAGTAGCGTGCTTCTATTCTTTCCATTTGGGCCAAGTCTTGAGGCACAAAAGCTCAATTAGTGAGATAAGGTAACCGTGAAACTTGTATGAAATCCAGATAACTTTGTAAAGCAGTTATAACACATAACAAGTGCTGGAAGATCACAGCAGAAAAAACGTTTGGAAGATTGTAAATCGGAATCCTATCCTTCTGCACTCTCTAATGCTCATTCTCCTCTTTCGATTTCTAAGAGCAATTCAAATCACACACATAGTGCGGTTGTTACAATCATTCAAATAATATCGCATAAAAAATCTTCTCTTCACAGTGTATCTTAACCAAATGACTGATGACACAAAAAACGTGGTAACAGGTAATATGTTAGTATATATATACATGGAGCTTGCCTTTTTGTATCATTTCATTCTTCAATTCAATTTTCTTAATTCTCAATCTTAAAACTTTTTGTTTCTTTCGATTTTGTTAACCCTGTCCCTACTAGCTGAGAGCTAACAAGAATACTAGAGAGTATAGGAGAAGCTAATATTGTAAGAGAATTCCTTCAAGCAGACAATTTTGATTCCCAATAGGAAATTTACCCAATGTCACATTAGCTACCGTCTACTGTGTTATAGGCAAGTTAATAAGTAGTCTAAGAATCCATACTATTATTGACATAGTGGATCATTATTTCAACTCTATAGTATTATTGAATTTCACTAAATTACATTCAAAAACTGTGAATTAAGTATGATGATAGTGTAGTAGCGTGCTTCTATTTGTTGCATTTGAGTTAGATCTTGAGGCACAAAAGCCCAATCAGTGAAATAAGGTAATCGTGAAACTTGTATGAAATCCAGATAGCATTATGAAGAAGTTACAACACACAACAAATGATGAAAGATCACAGCACAGAAAATGTTTGGAAGATTTCAAATTGGAAACCTATCCTTTTTCACTCTCTAATACCCATTCTCCTCTTTCAATTTCCAAGAGTAATTCAAATAACACGCATAGTGTGACTGTTACAATCATCCAAATCATATCACATAACAGAGCTTCTCTTCGTAGGGTGTCATAACCAAATTACAGATTGCATAAAAAACGTGGTAGCTGATAATATGTTAGTGTATATATTATACATAGGGCTTGTCTTTTTATATCCCTTCATTCGTCAATTCAATTCTCGTAATTCTAAATGTCATATCCTTCTACCTCTGTCGATTTTATTAACACTATCCCTACTAGCCGAGACTTAACAAGAATACTAGATAGTATAAGAGAAGCTGATATTGTAAGAGAATTCCTTCAAGTGGATAATTCTTGTTGTCGAAGAGAAAATTTACCCAGCACCACGCTGGCTACTGACTAATGTACTCTAAGTAAGTTAATAAGCAGTCTAAGAACCCATACTATAATTCACATAATGTATCATTATTTCAACTCTATAGTATTATTGAATTTTACTAAAAAACATTCAAAAACTATGAATTAAGTATGTTGATAGTGTAGTAGCGTGCTTCTATTCTTTCCATTTGGGCCAAGTCTTGAGGCACAAAAGCCTAATCAGTGAGATAAGATAATCGTGAAACTTGTATGAAATCCAAATAGTATGACGATAGTGTAGTAGTGTGCTTCTATTTGTTGCATTTGAGTTAGATCTTGAGGGACAAAAGCCCAATAAGTGAAATAAGGTAATCGTGAAACTTGTATGAAATCCATATAGGCTTGTGAAGCAGTTAAAACACAGCAGGTGGTTAAAGGTCAAAGCACAGAAAATGTTTAGAAGATTCCAAATCAGAATCCTATCATTTTTCATTTCCTAATACCCATTCTCCTCTTTCGATTTCTAAGAGCAATTCAAATTAAATGGATAGTGTGACTGTTACAATCATTTAATTTATATCGCATAACAGAGCTTCTGATCAAAGAATATCTTAACCAAATTGCAGATTGCACAAAAAACGTGGTAGCAGGTAATATGTTAGTATATATATACATGGGGGTTGCCTTTTTCTGTCACTTCATTTTCCAATTCATCTCTTTTAACTCTCAATGTCAAATCCTTCTGCCTCTGCCGATTTTATTTACCTTGTCCCTGCTAGCCGAGAGTTAACAAGAATACTAGAGAGTATAGGAGAAGCTGATATTTTAAGGAAATTTCTTCAAGCTGATAATTCTGATTGTCCAAGAGGAAATTTACCCAGTGTCACGCTGGCTACTGGCTACTGTGCTTTAGGCAAGTTAATAAGCAGTCTAAGAATCTATACTATTATTGACATAGTGGATCATTATTTTAACTCTATAGTATTATTGAATGTCACTTAATAACATTCAAAAACTGTGAATTAAGTATGATTATAGCGCAGTAGCGTGCTTCTATTCGTTGCATTTGGGTGAGATCATGAGGCACAAAAGCTCAATCAGTGAGATAAGGTAATTGTGAAACTTGTATGAAATTCAGATAGCCTTATGAAGCAGTTGCAACACATAGCAAGTGGTGGAAGATTACAACATAGAAAATGTTTGGAAGATTTCAAATCGGAATCTTATCCTTCTTCACCCTCTAATATCCATTCTCCTCTTTCGTTTTCTAAGAGCAATTCAAATTACATACACAATGTGACAATTACAATCATTCAAATTATATCACATAAGAGAGCTTCTCTTCACAGAGTATCTTAACCAAATTATAGATTGTGCAAAAAACATGGTAGCAGATAAAATGTTAGTATGTATATACATGGGGTTTACCTTTTTATATCACTTCATTTTCCAATTCATCTCTTTTATTTCTCAATGTTAAATCCTTCTGTTTTTGCCAATTTTATTAACCCTGTTCCTACTAGCCGAGAGTTGACAAGAATACTGAAAAGTATAAAAAAAGTTGAAATTGTAAGGGAATTCCTCCAAGCAGACAATTCTTGTTGTCCAAGAGAAAATTTACCAAGTGTCATATGCTGGCTATCAGCTACTGTGCTTTGTCCAGGTTAATAAGCAATCTAAGAACCAATACTATTATTAACACTTATCAACACAGTGGATCATTATTTCAACTCTATAAAAGAGTAATTTGAAAGTCTGTGGGTTCAATAGACTGTGATACAAAGAACTGGATGATACTCTCGATATGCTAAGAGACAGTAACCAAGATTCTCTCTAATGAGAAATTAGTTTACAAGCCAATCTTTTGCGAAATCTTGAAGTCTCAAGGTCAAAGATTCAATTCTGGGAGCTGGAGAAGGAGCTGTCGAGAAGAGAGCTTGATGAATGCAACGGAAGGAAGAGAAAGATTATCGAGGATAGGCATAATTACAACTTCCATCCGCTATATAGAAGCTTTCACTTCTGCAATGAATGTTGAGATGAAGAAGCTTACTATGTTTTAATGTATTAGGTTTCTTTTGATTTGGTTTGTAAGTTTATTTCTTTATCTAAGTAATTTAGTTAAGTTACTTAGTATTGCAGTAAGAGTCTGTTTAACTTGTAGAATGCAACTTATCTTAAAAGACGGTTTCACCCGTGCCTTTGTGCTATCTTATCGAGGGATTTGATGTTTTACTTACTCCAACTCATCTTGCCGATTTGTAATATAAGAGATGTTTTACTTATTGTTTTTCATGTCGATTTGTAATATAAGAAATGGCCATTCATCACAGGTGTTACTTACTCCAACTCATCTTGCAATAGTCATGGAATATGCTGCTGGGGGAGAACTATTTGAAAGAATCTGTAGTGCTGGTAGATTCAGCGAGGACGAGGTACATTAGATTTATGCATCATTTCTCATAATTGATAACAGAAAGCTTGAAGGACTTTATGATAGTGCTTTTGTCTAAGAGTCCATTATATTAACTCTCTAGATCCTAAATAATAATAAAGATTGCTTCTACTGTACATTCTGCATGAAACAACATAGGAGTACTGTTTTTTCTTTAACCAAATACATATATGCACAAAAGATTGTTATTTAATTTGGACATCGTATCTACACTTTCTTCTTTTAATTTTATTTTATGCATAGTATTTCACATTCTAGATACTTGTAGACGGGAAAATTCATCCTAAATTCTACTTTTGCTTGCATAGGCAAGATATTTCTTTCAGCAATTGATTTCTGGAGTCAGCTATTGCCATTCAATGGTAACACTTGCTTCTCCAATATGAATCGAAATGGTTTTTTTTTTTTTTTTTAATTTCATTGAATGCATGTATCAAATTCAATGGTGATACTTTAGCTGAATTAAAGATATATTTTTCTTGCAGGAAATTTGCCATAGAGATCTTAAGCTGGAAAACACACTTTTAGATGGAAGCTCAGCACCACGACTCAAAATCTGCGACTTTGGTTACTCAAAGGCAAGAAGTTGTCACTTAATTCACTAAACATAGACGTTTCAAAGTCTAGTTACTCAATGGAGTTTTGTGTCTTTCTTCAGTCATCTGTTCTGCACTCTCAGCCAAAATCTACTGTAGGAACCCCAGCCTATATTGCACCGGAGGTCTTGTCAAGAAGAGAATATGATGGGAAGGTAACTTGATAGCTTATAACTTTTCCTTTCCAATCATGTAAGCGTGGTTTTACTCATTTGGAGTTAATATTTGGCCACCAATATGTTCTTATCCTTGATAATGATTAGGTTGCAGATGTTTGGTCTTGTGGGGTGACCTTATATGTGATGCTGGTTGGTGCATATCCTTTTGAAGACCCAGAAGACCCAAGAAACTTCAGAAAAACACTTCAGGTTAGTTGGACTAATAAATAAATTAATATGAGTTGCCTTTACTTGAATGTCCAAGTGTAATTTAACTAATTAATCACGCAATTTATTAATTTCTTTTGGATAATTTTGACAGCGAATTCTTAGCGTCCACTATTCTATTCCAGACTATGTTCGTATCACTAAAGAGTGTAGGCACCTTTTATCTCGAATATTTGTGGCCAACCCGGAGAAGGTACAATTATTTATGAATGTTGGTTGCATAACGTAACACTTTATATTTACTAGCAAATTTTATGGATTGCACATTATTTATTTCATGCAGAGAATTACCATACCAGAGATTAAAATGCACCCATGGTTCCTAAAGAACTTGCCATTAGAATTTATGGACGAGGGTGAAGGGGTGTTGCAAAATGATGAGAATGATTCATCTCAGAGGATTGAAGAAATTCTGTCCATAATTCAAGAGGCTCGGAAACAAGGTGAGGGCCCAAGAGTTGGTGAGCAATTTGTTGGGGGTAGCATGGACCTTGATGATATCGATGCAGATGCTGACATCGATGATATTGAGACAAGCGGTGATTTTGTCTGTGCATTGTGAGTGATGCTTGCAACCTTGCACTTTGCCCACCAGTTCTCCCCCAAAAGCAGTTTAAGATAAAGATGTTCCTTTTCCACCCTTAACGAGATAGGGAATCAAACAAAAGCCCTCTACCATGGTTTTTCATTTTCCTTTTATTGGAAGTTGCTTGTCTTGATCTCTACCCAAGTGGGAATAAGGGAATGTTACTGATTTCTTGCTTTAATGCTTTCTCACTTGCCCAAAAAATCAGCATTGTAAGATATGTTCTTCTAATATAATATAATAATTAATGACATACATTGGGTTCCTGTTGCACGATCCTTTCTCCCTTAATTTTTAGTTGTTGTTATTAATGAAAAATATTTGCCATGTCCTTTTTTCCCTCATAATTATAAACATAAAATGACAATTTGACATTTGAATATTAAGTGATCTATCATTGTCATTGTATCAGCGTCGGATAGAAGCACTAGACAACAAATGTAATGCGAATGATGCTGATACACCACGCTGCACGGTCACGGAAGCTTGAAAATTAAGATATTAACCACTTGTCGAATTTTCTTTTTTCTATTAACCGAGGACACACACTTACATTACATATATGATATTTCACTAAGTAAAAATAAAAGTGTGAACATTCTTCATATAATTTCTTTTGTTCTTGATGCCAAGTCAAAACTAATTAAGTCAAAAATAATTTGAATCCTTGAATTAGACATTTCTTGAATTGATTTTCCACTTCAATAAACAATATAATTCGCTGAATTCCCATTCTTTAATTAAATAAATAAGCAAGAAAAAAGATAAACAAATAAACAATGGCAAATGTTAATCATATCAGAATTAAAAATAAAAATATTTAAAAATATAATTATGTTCTTTTCATAGTTTTAAATATATCTCTAACATGATTTTTAACAAATTTTTTCTAATTTCTTAATTAATTTTTAAGAATAATTATTAATAAGACCCATAAATATGGGGCACGTAGCAGAAAAATATTCAAATCATATGCGTTGTTTTTCTTTTAATTACAAGATGTACCAAAAAAAATGTTTCTTTTTAAATAGTAATATTTCATTTTTCTTAACTCCTTATTTTGTATTGGCAAGATGTTATTTTTCAATTAAATAAACAAGAGTTGATTTGATTTCTACTAAAATTAGATCCAAAAATTCAGAAACTCTTTTAAACAAGAAAAAATAAACATGTAAATTTAATTATTACAAATAGTTATATGTAATGTTATTTGTGAAGCTTGTCAATTAATTATTTATATATATTTCTCATCATTCAAATAATAATAGTTTATGTTTAAAATAGTTGAAAATATATATTTTATAAAATTTAATTTCTATTTAATATTTTTACTTATAATTCTTAGAACTGGCAAGAAATGTGTAGTTTTAGTTTTATCTAATAGTTATTTGCTTACCTTTGGACCTTTTCTAATACACTTGCTCATTGACGACTAACTTTTTCAACCTTATTTAATGTACGTTTAAATTTTAGACTTTACCTATTGTTTCGCAAATTATTTGCGTACTCTCAATTAAAATAGTATTCATATTTTTATTAATTTACTTTTCATGATAATACGAAAAATTATGGTTACTTATATTTTCTTATAAAAATAAGTAAAGAAAAATAAATATAAAATATGAAAATACTGACAAAATAAAGCATAAATTTCAAATTTGAATCGATATTTTTCTGAGAATGTCCAAAGAAAAGTAATCAACATTATTTAAAATTTAAGAAAAGCGACGAAAGAAATCTACGTCCATAAATAAAGACATATGTCTATAAAAAAAAACTAATTAAAGCATATTTGTACAATGAAAATCGTTTTTATTTTTTCTTCTAAATTTATTTTGTTTTTATCTGATAAAAAATTAGAGAACAAATATTTTTATTAAAAAAAATTATTTGAATCGACAAAATTACTGTAGGTAAGAATATATTTTTAGTATAATATAATTATTAATTATAATTTAATTTTTCAAGTATATTAATTTTACTTCCAAGCCTTGACTTTTTGTGAAAAAAGTATTGAAAATTATGTAAATTAACACGTTCAAAAACTAAACAATACAAAGTAAAACTTCCATGAAATAAAGAAAATATATTCTATTTTTAAAAATCAAACTATCTTTCTAAATCTAATGGTTACAAAATATGTACTATTTTTTTTTTCATGTGACGGATTGCTTTTAGTACTTCGAGAAAAAAAAATTCTAAACCATCAATCCACTTTTCAATTACAATAGGCCATTAGGAAATTTAACAGTCTATAAGCTTAAAATCTCCTTGATTAATAGCATATATAGTAGTAAAACTAAAGAGATATGAAATGTAAAGACTCTGGATTAAACCATGTCCTAGAAGAAAAAAGAGAAAAAGATCTTATTAGTTTTTTTTAAGATTTTTTATTTTGTAAATTTTTAAAGGGCTTTTAGAAAAAAATAAAATAAAAATTAAGGTTATATTAATTTATCATTATATTTATTTAATTTTAAAAGATTATCAAACTCAAGAAAATAATTATTAAAAATGAAAAAAAAATCTCACTTCTCCTCTTCTTTAAAACTTAATTTGAAAAAAATATTCTAAATTTATGTTAATATATAATTTTATCTATTTTATTTTATTTAGAATAATTATTAGAATAAATATTTTAGCCTTTATTTCTTTCCAAAACCTAACTTTCAAATATACCCTACATGAGATTTTGAAAAAAAGAGTAATTAGTTTTCAATTTTAATCTATTTCTTAAAACGTGTTAAACCCCTGTCTTTTTTATATTAAATAAATCTTATAATTTTCAATAAAAAGACACATTGCAGTGTAAATTTATGACTGAGATTAATTTAAATAAACATTTAAGTTATATTAACGAATTGAAATTAATTTTATGAAAATCAATTCTATTTAATTTTAAAAACAACATGCCCTTGTAGTTGATTGAGTAAGTATGAACTATTCCTATTTTCCTATACCATATTCATGCTTTGTACTATTTATTTTTGGTAAAAATACATATGAGAAGATGAATCCTTATACCATCCATGTAGCTATAACCTTCCCATGTTCTCTCTATTCTAGGGGTAAGCAACTTCACATAGTCTCGCATCATAACCAATTTACAGATTAACAGAGCATGTAACCAATTGCACAGCACTTAACCAAGTTCTAGGTAATCAATATGCTAGTATATATATACATGAGGAACAGAATAACCAACTTCTTCATAGAGTATCGCATGGTAACCAATTTACAGGTTAACAGAGTATCGCATCATAACCAATTTACAGATTAATAGAGCTTCTTCTTCCCATAGAGCATGTAACCAATTGCACAAAAACAGTAGAGCACGTTCACGTGGTAGCAGGCAATCAATACGGTAGTATATATTAGGGGTGGGTATTGATTGGATTTCCATAAATCCAACATAGATCCATAGAAAATTTAATTATATAAATTAGATTATAATTAATCTATTTTAATTTTTTAAAAATTAGTTTAAATTTGATTTTAAAATTTGAATATTGTTTCAAAATCGATTTTAAATTTGATAAAAATATACTATAAATATTTTTATATTATTATTAAATCCTTATATTTAATTTTTTAATAATTAATATAATATTATATTTGCATATATATATATATATATAGGAGAAAGATCTTTTTACATCTGTGTAAGTCTAAAAATTCTTACATCTAATCTGAGTCTTTCATTTAACTTAAATCTAATGAGTTATAATTTATTACTTTATTGACAGTTAGATTTAAGTTAAATAAAATACTCAGATTGAGTATAAAAGTTTTTAAACTTACACCAGTGTAAGAAGATCCTGTCCCATATATTGTTATGCATTAATATTTTATTAAAGATAAAATATAAATACAAGAAGTACTCTAACTTGTTACATCTTTACATGAATTAACAATATATATCAAGAAAATATTTGTATTTATTTTAATTTATTAATAATATATTTTTTATTTTTATATTTTATTTAACTAATAAATATTTAAATATATTCTACTTTTTATCATCTATCTATCACATAAACTAACTATATGAATTAAATTTTAAACTATTTTATTTTATTAATCAAATAAAAAGTAGTTTTAAAATATAAATTTCATTTAAAATCAGTTTTAAATTTTGTTTTTTTAAAACTAGTTTTAAATTTAGTTTTATGTGAAATTAGTTTTCAATTCAATTTTAAATTTAAATTTTAACACAACTAATTTTTAATATATCTATGAATTTTATTTTTAAAGTAAAACTAATTTATTATATGTAACATTTCATTAAATTAGTACATTTAAAAAAGATTTTAACAATATTTATTAATTATATTATATTTTATAGAAATTTATAAAATATTTATTATTATTTTTTGTTGATGATAAAAGTTTAAATTAAAATCTATAAAAATAAAAATTAATAATATAAATATAATAAAATTATGTTATAATATTTTAAAAATTAAAAAATAAATATAAATATTAAAATAATAGTAGTAATTAATTTAAAAATATTTATATATTTTAATATATTTAATATAATAATCATATTTTAAAAATATTATTTTAAATATTTAATTTTAATTATAAAAATTAAAATTAATAAAAAATATTAGTGATAAAATTTGATTACGATAAAATTTTGTAACAGAGATTTAATAAGTAAAAATATAAGATAATATTTTTATATATATAAATTTGAATAAATAAAAAATTTAATTTTAGAAATTTAATTTAAACATTAAATTGATTAAACAAATATAATTAATTGAAAACTAATTTAATATGAATTTAAATTTTAATATTAATTATAGATTTGATAAAAAAATTTCCTTCTCTTAATTTTCAATCAATGATCTGGATGTCCAAAGATGTAATCTTCTCATCCACCAAACAAAAAGAATGTCCACAACCAACCTAATTGTCACAAATCATGAAGCAAAGTACTTGCCAAGATGCCGTTTAAACAGGAATTATGAAAGGATGGAGTTAGATCACAATTTTAGCTAATTGTTATTTGACCGCGTTTTGTATGATGTGCCATGCAGTGGAGGTGGTACCCATCGAAAGCTCTAGAGGAAATGGTAGTTTTTATTTCTTCCTCTTTTCAACCAACAAATTATTGTTTTGAGACTTATTTTACATTTTTGTAGGAACACAGGGATGAGACATTGCCTTCGCAGTCTACAGGTTTTAATTGCTATGCGAGGTGCTTTTATTATTGTTTTTCATATCTATTTTAGGGTCTGCTGTTGTAGTTTTGTGTTTCTATTTTGTTACAAGTTGCAGTTATGTTTTTTTCCTCTCTCTTTCAATTAGAAGATTAATAATAACTGACAATGGTTAGTTGACCAAGTTGGACCTTTAATAGACATATGCTTTGGGAAATATATAGTTTTACTATCAATGCTTGCTGTGGTTGGTAGTCAGTTCTCGCCTTGGAATGAGGATGACCTTCTCTTATCCTACAAATTTTGTGGCCATTAAAAAAATCATTAATAAGATGACTTAAGTCTACATTATGATTGTTTAGTTTTTGTTAATGAGCAGAATGCATGATGATAGATTTTACTTTGAATTTTTGTGAGAAAAGTATTGAAACTTTTGTAAATTAACACGTTCAAATACTACACTGTCCAAAGTAAAATTTTCATGAATTAAAGAAAATATATACTAAATTCAAAAATATAAAATTCACAATAAATTTCACTCTGTTACACAAATATTTACCTTGAGAACATAGTTTCACCTGTGCCTTGGTTATATACTTCATTGTCCCATATTCTTATTGCTTTGAAAATATGTCCCACTGACTTATAATTTGTTCTATCATCTTGCACAGCAAATAAGTTCTACATATATCAATTTCGTAAGTCATATCAGCATTTCATGCAAAACAAAACAAAACTGGGACGAAGGTTTGGTGTTCAAAGTCGTCTCTTACAAACCAATATGTAAGCTTAAATCTCCTTTTCAATTACAATAGTCCATTCGAAAATTTAACTGTCTATAAACTTAAAATCTCCTTGATTAATAGCATAGTAGTAAAACTAAAGAGATATGAAATGTAAAGAGTATGGATTAAACCATGTCCTAGAAAAAATAAGAGAAAAATATCTTATTAGTTTTTTTTTCCTTTTATTTGTTTTATCATTTAAATCAGATTTTTATAGTTTAAATGCATTTATATTAATAATTTTTTTTAAAAAAGAGAGTTTTATTTGTGTGGTTGGGTTTCTACAGTATGACATGCATGGGCATAACGTGTCTAGTTCTGTAATTCTGTGAATCAGAAACAACTTATGCAATTAGATACCCATTTTTATAAGATGGAAAATTTAGTGTCCCACAGCGGCTTCCTATAGGATGTTACACTCACCTTATGTCCTTACTCTCAATATCTCCATCCAAATTCCAAAATAAATAAGTGTTTTAAGATTCTAAATTAATCATAAATGTCTCAAACTTGTATTCTGCTTCGTGTCTCAAGCTGTAAACATGGATACAATTTCTCTAAGATTGCTTTTATGCAATAATAGTAACAAGAAGAATATTATGAGCTGTCAATTACGCGTAAAAATGCTTCTGGATCCTCGATTATCGATTATACGGAATATATAGGATATTAATTATGTTGAATAATTGATTGAGCTAAAACGATGCCCCAGTTCTAACTGTACAACATAAACTTTTAGATTGAAGTTTATTCATTTTCTTAAGACTTTTGTTCGCCACGAAAAGTTGGTTTATTGTACTATTTTTTGTAAATTAGATAAAATGTAAATTTTAAAATTAGAAATTATTGATTTAAATGTTGAAGAATATTTTTTTAATATAAATATAAATATACAAACCTTTGACACTTTAATTTTGAAAAGTTTTAAAAATTAACTCCATTAATAAAAGAAATTAAGAAAATTTAAGTGAAAATGTTTAAACGTTGATTTATAAACATTTTATTATGTCTTATACTGATTTAAAAAGATTGAGAATTGATTAAAGAAATTAAGAAAATGCCACAGAGTGCTTAGGTATTAGATGGAAACTATTCTAATTTTGTTATGTATTTCAAGTTTTGAATTTTTGAAAATGTAACTTGGATATAAAAAAATTGAACCCTTAAAACGTAAGCTTCCGTTTGGTTAAGCATTGCAGTGGCTACAATCTTGAGTTTCTCAACTTCAAAGTCGAAATATATATTTTTTAAGTACAGGATCAATTTTTCAGAAACGAAAGTCCAAACACTTGAAGAAATAAGTCCATTTTCACGCTGAGAGACACACAAAAAAAAAAGGATGGACTCGAATACTAGATGAAGTCGTCAACACATATGCCAGCGTTTCATGATTTAGAAACACATTATTATAATATTGGCTTAAATAAATTTTTTTCTTGTAAAATTTTAACTTTATTTCTAACGATGCTGTGATTAACTAAATTATTATCATGTGTTAATTTTTTGTTAGTCATCTCAGTGAAAGAAATTAAAATGTTAAATTAGAAAAAAATTGTTTTTAAGAGACTAAAGATATATTTAAGTTAACAAACACATATTTTTTTAGTAAAAAAATATTGCTCATTTCAAATATAATTTAAAACCATTTTTATAACTAAAAATTATAATTTTTAAAATTCAGATGTTATATTAACTAGGGTTGCAATTTGAATATATTATTATGTATTTTATTGTCACATATATTACTTTATCAGTATATTAAACTAAAAGTCTTATATTGGAATTTTGAGCTGGTACAAGGACCAAATTACATATGTACGTCTCAGCCTATCCTATGACACACCCCCAATGTTAAAGGATGAAAATATGCTCAAATTTACATTTTCCTTCCAAAGGCAGGAAAAAATAAATGGAAAATCACGGAGAAGGAAAAAAATTCCATAGGTCAAGGTCTGGTGATCATTTCAAACAATTATGGCGAAAAAAGTAAAAATCTAAGCAGCATATGTTCGGATTTCAGACAAAACACTATTGATTCATTTTATTCTGCAAAACGGATCCAAATAAACCGAAGCAAAACTAAGTAGTTAATAATTTCAATAGAGAACGGCTCTGAAAAATAAAAGCCTACCAACTTAACGTTCTCCTCGGAAAGTATGACAATCTGACCATGATATCCTACTAAGCAGTTTCGTGAGAGAAAAATGAAAATAACAAACAAAAACGAAAGAGTTCGAAGGATAAAGCCATGGTAGCTAATATGCTAGCTCTGGTCTGGTTGACCATAATGATTAAGCACAGCTCAGAAAGCTAAGGGAAGTGATGAAAAAAGAAACAAATAAAAAAATAATAATAATCACCTTCACCTAATAAAGAAAATACTAAGTTCTTGATCTATGTCTCCATCTGGATTAATCAAATGGAAAGATTCACAGTTGGATGAGGCGCGAACCCTCTTAAAGTGGGCTCTAAGGTACATAAGTTGATCATCTTTATTCACGAAATCCTTCAAGTTCATTACACCAGTTCCCACAACAACCGAACGCATCAACCTCAGCGCTTCAAAATCGGTATTCGATGGCCTTCGCTTCAGAGCATACCCCACTCTCTTCCCATTGCAATACATAGTCCACAAAGGCGTGGACAAAAGAGTGTTGCCACAACCACTATTACTCTCTAACGCGATTCTAAGCGTTCCTTCTCTCATTTCCTTTGCTAAGATGGTTGTCGGAACTGCTAGTTCTAGGAGGAGAATTGGGTTGGTGGAGTTGGCGTTTGATTGAATGCAGAAACTCACGTTTGCTCTTCGGTACCCGAATATTGTGCCTGTGATAATGGGTGATGAGCACTTAGTGGTGTTTTGGAGGCACTCCTTTTGTATTGCATCTTGGTTTTCTATAATGGTGGCGCAGTTGCACGTGGGGATTAGTAGTTGCATGAGAGAACGTAGCAGCCTCCATGACCTAACTTGTTTGTGGCACTCCACTGTAGTCATGCCAGTCTCCGTGTTGTTATAATTACTTCCTTTAACTTGGTGGTTGTATTGTAGGTCTTGCGTTTGGTTTAGGATTTGTTTAAATACTATAAATTAAGATTATGTAATGTACACCAAGTACTTACCTTTAAAAACATGAATGGTAAGTGCTTGTTTGAATGAGTTTTTATGGGACAAAAATTAAAACTTTAGTATAATATATGAAAACCAATTGGAATATGAAATTAGATAAAAATGCTGCTCTTTATGGTTTTTCATTTTTTTAATATTGAACGGTTGACCTCATGCACACTTGTTCGAAAGAAATCCGCAAATTCACGGATCACAAAGACATGTGTCGATTAGTGAGAAATTAGCCAATCAGGTTCAATATTTTTGGCTGGCCAACCAACAAGAATATCTAATGTAACCCCGTTTCTGGATCTGAAACAACTAATGCACACGCTTCCAGAGATATAGTTCTTAATTTGCTGCTTTATCTCCCTTCTTTATTCGTTGAGGCCTTTCTTTCATTTGTGGACACCAGTACCTGTAGCAAGCTGGAGCAGCCATAGCTGAAAATAACTAATATATATGCAAATAATTAGGTGTCTTCTCGATTTCCATTGTTTTGGCGTGATTAATTTTGATTTCAGCCATTGAAAAGGGCAGAAAATTTGGGATAGAGATTTCCGTACCGCCATAACCCATTAATTCATTATCATTCAATCGTTAGGCCACTAGATTTTGGACCATAGAAAAACTATAGTTATAATAAAAATTTATTATTAATAATTTTTTATTGAATTCCCTTAAATATACATTAAAAAATGTTTAATATATATACACACACGAGCATCTTTTTTCATGCTTTCCTCAAATATGTGACCTGCTTCAACAAAATAAAAGAGAAAAAACGATATGTCGGACTTATTATAGCAGACCCACAAACTAGCACTAAATCCTATTTTCATGTATTATTTTGCATAAACCATGTGAGATGAACTTGGGGGCAAAGCGTGTTGTGTGGAGGCTAAAAAATTGTGGATGTTTACCTTTCTAGCCTGGTTGCTCCACTCTTGTCCTCGCCTTTCCTTTCCTTTCATTTATATATTTGTTACTGAAAAAATGTCCACTAGAAAAAACCTTCTTTTTTTTTTTTCCATTTTTTTATGCATCTCCGGCTTTTTTTAGAAACGGATCGGTTTTTCCTTTTTTTTATTTTATTTTGCGAGGATCAGAAGAATTTATCAAAATTTAATTTTCATTTACGGTAAATGTAAACATTTAGATACAAGAATCTACATACAAAAGATAAAGTTTTCAAATTATATTCTAATCCTAAATACACATAGCAACATGATTAAATTAAAAATTACGGTTTGGTTACCCATTTAAGATCGATAATGGTGAGAAATCCAACCATATGAAAAAAAATAATATACAAAATTACCGGTCTTTCTTTGTGTAGACGAGAGAGAGAATATGTATTAAAAAAAAAAAAAGAGGAAATAAGCTGCTTCTATTCTACGATGTTCTACACAACATAGTAAAAGGAGGGGCGAGAGAAAAGGCTTATCTCACTTCTACAAGAGATTAACTAAGTTGCTTAAGTCTAATCCCATAGTTTTACGCGCATAACCCACGTGAAACTAATGTTAACTCAGTATTTATGGCACAGTGAACCTGATTTTTTTTAGTTTTTGAAAAAGGTAATTTTTATAATACGTACAAGTATTTTTTTTTTTAAATTTACAAAAAATAATTTGTTCCTAAATAGTTATAAGTATAAAGTACTTTAATTTTAGTAAGCAGTTATAATTTTTTCTTTTTAATAAAAGCTTTTCAAAATAGGTTCTAAAAATATAGAATAAATTAATTTTTAATTTTATAGTTTTTTAATAATCTTGACTGGACCACAAAGAGAACTGAAAATATTCTTTTTGAAGCATAGTACATTAATTCATACAAAGTATAGTACATTAATAACTCGAGTAGTACGTCCTCATGAGGGTTAGATAAAATAAATTGAAATTGGGTAAACCAACAAGGCCTAAAACTTCCTATATATAACATTGTTGACCTTTTAGCTGCTGGATATCAATTTGGGCCAAGCCCTTACTTCAAGCCCCATTAAGTTGTGTGTGTATGTCTATATATTTAATGTTCCAAACACCTCTATACAAGAAAATCATAGTTAAGAAGAGTTAAGTGTACATTGCAGGGTTCATAATCTTTCGTAGTTGTGTCACGTTGACTAGTCCTATGGGAATTTATTACAAACATGTTTGGTTACACAGGTCATATGTACATAATTTTAAAACTACAAAAAGTAGCTTTTATGTAAAAAACGTATGTACGGTGGAAACGAACGTGTAAGCAAATACATACTATATTAGCCTAGTTTTGTACCACTCACATCCAAGCCTATATAATTAACCAATTAATGTCATTATATTAGATGTGTAATTTACTCTGTATTGTTATTTGGTAAAAATATCAACAAAAACATTTAAGGTATTTTTTAAGGACACTTTCAATCATCTTCAATCTTTCGCTTACTAATACAATATTAACTTACCTTTAAATTTCATTGAACTCATTTTTAATGGACTCATTTACGAGATATTATATCATAAATTATATGTTATTTTAAATATTTATGATGCTCTTTATAACAAAATAAAATTATATTTTCATCTAAATTTACTCTTAAATATTTTATTTTTATTTGATAAATAATGAACTAAAAACTTGTCTTCTTCAAGTATCCCATAGCTATTCTAGAGAGTTTGGTAACATTTGTTCCTCGTGTGGATGATATTTACCAACAAAGAAAGAGTGGTTCTTACTCCAACAGACACAATAGTTACTTATCTCTGCTGAGCAGAGATAAAAAAAGTTAGGTCGCTTATTATATATATTATATTAAAGTTAAATTTATTTATTTTTTAAAATATATTAATTTTCTTTTAGCTAATTTAAAAAATTGTGTAAATGTTATTTTTTATGATTAATTTTATATGTTCATTATGACTTTATTTATTAACTATACGATGCTTTTAAACAAATAAAATATGATCCTAAAAAAACTAAAATCTTCAATACTTTAATAATTTTTTAAAAAAAAATCAAGAAAAATAAAAATAATTTTTTTAATATAAAACATTTATAATTAATGCTCAAATAATATTTTAAAAATTATTATAATTATTTAATAATTATCAATAACATAAATGAAAATTAAAAAAATATGTAAACTAATTTAATAATAAAATATTTATATTTTCATTAATATTAAAATATTTGTTTTCTAGCAAACTTTTTTAATAGGTTTCATGTCAGGCTAGACTATCTAAATAGGTTAGGTTAGACTGAAAATAAAATTTTTAATAAGTAACAGTTCAAGCTCAAGCCTAATAATTATGTTACAATTTATTTAGAATAAAATTTAGTCTAACCTAACTTATTTTCATCTTTACTATTAAACGAGATTAATTCAGTTATGAAATTGACCCATGAAATGACTCTCAACTTAAGAGCAAACTGTGTCTAGAAAGAATTGAAAATGCAAGATAAAAGAATTGATCAAGCAAAAGAAAAACATATAGGTAATTTAATATGTTTGTTTTCTATTTTTAAAAGAGTTTTTAATTTTTTTAAATACAATATAAATTTATATTATATTTAAAAAAAATTAAAAACTCTTTTTAAAAGAGAAATTAAACATATAGTAACAGATGCATACTTGCTTTTATGAACTCAAATTAGTCCACCGTGTCGTCGCCTTCATCCAACAAACCTTTCGGTCGATTATGTATTTATGTTCATATATATCACTAGACAACGATTTAAACATTCAATTAAATGTCTTAATTTCATGAGATCTTCAAAAATTTCATAAGAAATTGAATTTGTTTTACTATATTTGCTTACTTTTTAAATTCAATTTTAAAAGCTAGATCAATTTAAATTAAATCGAACTTTTGCTAACATAATTTTATCTATAGACTCAACATATTTCTCATATTTATATAATAAATAATTATAAAAAAACTATCAATTTATTTTTTTAAATTAATTATCCTATTTTTGAATTGCATCTTATTATTTTAATATTTTTATTAGTTTCAAATTAATATTAAATTTGTTTTTTTTTGTATTTTTACCTATAATATAACTATTGTGTTTTATATGGAAAAATCAATAAAAATAAGTATAAGATATAAAATAAGATCTTCTTAACAAAGTCACATAGCAAATCAAATCAAAGAAAAGAAAGCTATGACTTTAAAAAAATTACTTAGTTGCATGTGGCGTTTGTTTATTTTTGTTTGGGTAAGGTATATTTAATTTTAAATTTATAAGATTTGATTAATTTATGAGATAAACATGTTGATATTTTGAATTAATTTTTAATTACTTATTATATATTATTTTTATTTATTTTTCTTTAAAAAATAAAATAAAGACCTAACGACTCATCCAGTCTAAAATAACGAGTGATACAATTCAATTGAATTTAACTTAAGTAAATTTTAAATTTATAATTAAATTAATTGAATGATAAAAAAATGTTAAAACATTAAATTTCTTTTTCATTCAAACTAATCCAGTTCAATAGACGAACACTTTTAAAGTTATATCAATAGCACGTGGACTATTAATTGTTAGTATTCTTCTAGAACCTGCCTTTAAAATTTAATTTGATTCAAACAATCGTCTCTGTCACTCAACTTGTATTAAAAATTGTGAATACGATATATGTAGATTCATAACACATTTTCTTAAGATTATTTTAATTTTTAAAAAGTTGACCAATCATAAAAAATAGTAAAAAATGTGTTTTAAAAAATAATTGTTAACATTGATCTTCTGCGTAATTCTTTTTATCGTTGATTTTTATTTTAAAATTGATTTTGACTCGGCAAAATGGAAAACAACAAACACCCGGTCCGTTTACCAGTCTACGATTACTATATCAGTTTTAGAAGAAGCTACTGGTCAAACCGTTAATATTTTCCCTTTACATTTTTTTTATCTGCAATCCAGACAATACAAATTTCAGGTCAGCATCGATTGCATAAAAATTTACTATCAAAGCTATGCAAAATCCTTATTACCGTTGACTTTTAAGTTTTGTGCTTCATAATATAATGTTGCAAGTAGATTTACCAATAAACACATTCGTTGCATGCTATGGAATGGGAGAAATTAAAAAAAAAAAAAAATGTATAAGGACAAGAATAAAACAATAGTTAGGAGCACGTATACTTTGAAAGAAAGCTGGGAAGCAAATTCTTTTATTTGGGACATGTTAATTTAAAAAGTATTGTGTTAATTGTAGATTTCGGTGTTAATTTTTATCGAAGCAACACAACATTAACAATATTTATTTCAATTTTTTAATAAAAATAAATTTGTTTATTGAAAAAGTAATTTTGCTTACAAAATTTTAAAATATTACAGAAATTAGAAAAAACTTGTCTGCGTGTCACTTTCATCTCTCACATATCTTATGTCTTATTTCGTTTGAACTCATGACACAATTAGACTATATATACTTCTAAAAGGATAGAAGACCACAATTATTAAGAAGTAAAATAAATGAATAAATAAAAACTATACAAGTATATGTATAATATTCTAGAATTATGAACGTATCAACAATCTAATGTGAACATGCTCAAATGTGAATTGTGTATAAAAATAAAATAAAATGCAGCTAATTATAGCAGGAGTAGAGAAGGCAAAATGATTTAATAAAATCACATTCATACATACCCCACTTGCGCAACAAACTGGATCTTAATTCCCAAACTAGAACTACTCCCTCTCTTTCTACTTTCGGCGAGAGCAAGTGTTGATTTTGTGTCTACTCAAACTCTCACGGTTTGGTGTTTGGCTTTCAATTTCAACACTTCAAAACATGACAAAACTCACACATCTAATAGGCATACTCAAGGACAAGGCATCGCAGAGCAAGGCGGCGTTACTCTCCAAACGCACCACTCTCTCCCTCTTACGCGCCACCAGCCACGACTCCTTCACGCCCCCGACCTTCAGACATCTCTCCACGCTCCTATCCTCGGGCAACGGCTCACGCGCCACTGCATCCACCGCGGTGGAAGTCCTGATGGACCGGCTGCAGGGCACGAACAACGCCGCCGTGGCCCTCAAGTGCCTGATCGCCGTCCACCACATCATCCACCACGGAAGCTTCATCCTTCAAGACCAACTCTCCGTGTACCCCAACACCGGCGGCAGAAACTACCTTAACCTCTCCAATTTCCGACACAACACCGACCCCACGATGTGGGAACTCTCGTCCTGGGTCCGATGGTTCGCCCAGCACATCGAACAACTCCTCTGCACTTCTAGAATCCTCGGATTCTTCCTCGGAAACTCCAACTCTCGAAACAACAGAGAGGAGAGAGTTTCGGGTCTCACCAACGCTGATTTGTTGACCGAGTTTGACTCTTTGGTGAGTTTGGTAGAGGGGATTTGCAAGAGACCCAATCCTGCGTGCAACAACGGGAACAGGTTGGTGGATGAGATAGTGAGTTTGGCGCGTGGCGATTGGGATGTGATAGGAATTGAAGTGTGTGTTCGTGTGAGTGAGTTTAGGGAAAGGTTAGGGGGTTTCAAGTTCGGAGAAGCGGTGGAATTGGTTTGTTGTTTGAAGAGGCTGGAGCAGTGTGAAGAGATTGTGGTGATGATGGAAGGGTCACGTGAATCGAGGTTGTGGGATTCAGCGAAAGAACTGAAGGAGAAGGTGGGAATGGGAGTGTATAGGGAAGAGGGTAAGTTAGTGAATGAGAGTAGAAAGTTACGAGTTAGTGAGTCGGATCGGTTTGCTGCCCGAGTTCTTAGTTACAATGATTTCCTCCGCTTTCCCTCTGGAAGGTTGTTGTAATATAACATCTTGATGTTCATGTCATTAAATACGACAAAAAAATCCAATTTCTGTCTATTTAGTGTTATATACTATGATATGAAACAGGGATGGTTCAATTCTATATATGTTAGAGTGAGATTTTTGCTGAGAAAAGAATGTTGTCGTATACCAAATAAAAAAGAACATGTATAAGCTAAATGGAATCTTTCACGTAACAAGCATTGGGAGCAGCAGCTGCATTCTCCGGAATGCACTCGTAGGGGTAACTTGTTGAAATGATAAGAAGAGCATGAGAATAGTAGTTAGGGTCCACGAATTACACAACAAAGCAATATAAATAAATATCTTTAGCTACCCCCGACAAAGAAAAAGAAAAGAAAGCACCTCACGGCTCGTGTTACCAATCAAATGGCATGCGAAATAAATAGGCTAGCATGGAGCAAATGCCACATAAGAAGACGTAAGTTCATCATTCCAACATCTCACTTCAAATTTCATCTTGAAATTTCATCTTTAGGCATGTTTCTCTTTCACATGACTTGGGATTGTTAAGAGTCATATAGTTCTCTTTCTTTGAAAATCAAAGAAATATTTGAATACTTCAAATTCAAAGGAGATATATCTTGAAGATTAGTTGAACCTAGAGATGACTATTGGTAACTTGGATGACTAAATCTCAACGGAATCAAGGTTAAGAAGGATAAAGGAGCAAGAGATTGACAGCAATCTAGGTCAGTCAAACTTATCCTATGTAAAACTTAGATAATACAAGATGACAATTTTTGTATAAACAACAAATATTACTTGTTTACTTGATATCCACTTTTTTATTATTATTATTATATAACATCATAATAATGTCTATTGTTTCTATAAACGCACATCTTTCCAAACTTCTTATATGGGTTGAAAAAGTAAGGAGTTTCAATACAATAAAGTATTAATTCATTTTATAATAAATAACAGCTAATAAAATATTAATCATAAAAATTTGACATATTCATATCTATATCTAAATAATTAAATATAATTATTTTAAGAAATAAGAGTTATACAGTAATTTATGGCCTATCAATTGTAAAATAAATTATATATATATATATATATATATAATTTTAGAAAGATACATTATTATTTTTAAAAATAGATTTAATTATATTTTTAGTCTTGTACTTTTAATTTATGTACAATTTTCATCTTTTAATTTAAACTGTTCATACCTATTTTTTTAATTTTAGAATTGTTTAAAGTAATTTTTTCACTTCAAAATTTTATTTAATAAGTAATAAAATATAAAAAATATGTATTATTAATTTATATAGATTTATACATAAATTATGTATAAATAATAACTGTAGCAAAACATGCGTGGCATTGTTATTAATTAGGCATTAGTCATAATGATTAAAAAGGGATCAATGTAAGCCACATTTGTTAAGATGCATATCCATTTGGAATGCTGCTTATAAGCGGTTTCTTTATATATCATAGTTGCTTAAAATATAGTCAAGCTTAATAGGTCCGTTCGGTGGAATGAAGTCAATTGTAAACTATCATTACATGACAAATCAAAAATTAAAAACAAACTATGTGATTGATTGCTGTGATTCTGTTACAACATATTCATTTTCTTTGACTGTGATTTTATTTGTGTATACCTCAATTTCTCCTTAATCATTATAAAACTTCTTAGCTGGCCTTGTTATTTTATCAAGTTTTTTTGGCCTGTTATTTTGTCAAGTTTTTGTCTATTCCTTCAAGGTCTGATTCTTCCAACTCTCAGCATTCAACAATGTTGAACAGCTCCAAGAAGATATGTCTATTCCATTTATAAAATATATTAACATTCCTCTAAAAAGATTGTAGCCGTTGCATTTATCTGATGAGATGAAGTTAGGACAACGACACAGACTTCAAAAGAGTTCGGCTTTAACAGTGAATAGTTAGACAAACTCGAAGAAATAATTAATTCCAAATAACAAATCTTCTTTCTCCACGAAAGTTAAATTGGAAATTAGATTGAAGGATGAGATAGAAACTTTGAAAGAAAGACATGATTGGATCAAACAAGGATTGTTCGCTAAAACTCAGCAAAATCATAGAAAAGAAGGAAATAATGCTTAAAACTAGGGATGACCTTAGGGTCTATCATTGATTTTGAAGAAAATTGTTATTCTTTTCAAGTTTTTATTTCAATTTCAATTCTAAAGTTTGTTGTTCTTTTTTAGTTTTCATTTTAATTTTAATTCTGAAAGTTAGGTTTTTTTTTTTTTAAAATTTGAATGAACTTTGTTTTACTGATTTAATTTGTTTTGTCTATGATTTTTGTTCTGCCGGGTCTTTTTGTTGGTGTGATTCTTGCTTTTCTGATTTTTTGCTATCTAATCTAAGTTTCTGAAATTTTTCTTTTTCTTTTCTTGTTTTATTGTTTATGAATAAATATTGTAGATTGTTTAGTTAGACTTGATAATGCACTCTGACTATTATTTTTTTATTTTTATTTTTGGCTAAAAAAAGGAGCTAAAAGCCCAAACAACACCAAATTATAGAGTTTCTAGTGAGCCTTATACCAAGGGAATCCATACAAAGAAAGGAGAGAATACTATGAGGAGTTGATTCAAATATTGAGGGGTACACATACTCCTCTAAACTAGCCTTAGCTAGGCTGTCAACACATGAATCAGCCTCCCTACAAATATACCTAAGTCTGATACATTTGATGGGATGAAGACTACTCTTAATGTCCTGTGTCAGCTTAAACAGCGAATGAGAAGGAAGTTGTACCTCTTGAATGAGGTGAATAGCTTGTTGACTATCACGACTTCTTTTTATAGAGAATTAATGGCATTTTCGCTTACCTTTTTTATATTCATTTATTTAATTTGTGAGGCATTATATATCAGTAAAAGAGTATAAGTTTTCTAAAAACTAAACTTCAACATTCAAATATACAAATAACAAGCCTCATGGGCATTTATATACAATATTCAAAGTCTTTACATAAATTTCCACACTTACATATGCTAACTCAGTGAAGATTGAATACAATTGTTTAAAACATAAATTACATTATTTGAAAAGTATGGCCTAAGAGTCTAGACCTATTACTAAAACCTAGACTAACCACAAATATTCAACACTAAAATTTTCTCAAAATGCCAACTTTGTTGTCCTTCAGCTAGATCTTCTAGCTTGAAAAGTAGACGCATTCCCTGTACCTTTTGTTCACGTACCAACGTACGATCATTCAGCACACATATCAACATAACAAAAATGCAAGGGAGAGCTTATATAACTGACAACCTTATTAATGAAATGTGAATGAGTATAGATAAAAATTTTTAAACAGCTCATAATAGTTAGCACACAACACATTACATAGCTTCATTAAAACAATGTAGCATGTCTAGCCCATTCCAATCTATCTAATGCAAATACAACAGTTTAGTTTCCATCTAGTTTCACAGTCTAAGTAATCCAGATGAATTGTTTCTGGTCTGGGAGCGACCCATCCCTGTATCTGGATCCAGACACAGCACAGCTCAATGTCCTAGGCAACTCTAGGATGACAGTGGTAAATGTGATGTAGTACAGCTAAATCAGCATATTACAGCACAGCAAAATTTTCATTTTCAGCTTTAACAACTCAGCCATATTTATATTCATAGTAAAGCTCAACATTTCAATATACAACACACAATGAAAACTAAGTAGCTCAAAATACTAATTAAATATTCCAGCATATATTAACACTCTCGGCTCATATGTCACTGCATTCCAGCATGTTATATTTTATCATGGTTTTCTAAATAATCATCAGACAGTTGAGAAATCTACTTAACTACACAGACTCTTGGTTTTAGTCCAAAATTAACTCATACAACCCACTATTCTTAGCTAGAATGAAATAATTGATATAAACATCACGATCTCTATTAAATGAACTAGATTAAATCAGGTAAGCTCCTCTAACCTGGAATGAATTCTAAGATATTGTTTCTAGTGGGTTCTGTAGAGAGAGGTTGGCCGTTTGAGTGTGGAATAAAGCTTGAACGGTTCAGATCTATTCAAAATAACCTGATTTAAGTCCCTTGAGAAAGAGAGAAAAGACATAAGGTAAAAACTGAAAACTGAGCTCTGAGAACTCACCTAGATCTCAATGAGATAGAAGATCTCGCTTTGATCGGGAAAGAATTTAGCTTTGAGGAAGTTTTTTCTAAGAGTAATAGGAGAGAGAACAAAGAGAGAATGAGAGAGAGAAGCTATCTGGTGAAAAAAATGAAGTTTCTGAATACTGAGGCCCCTTAAATACCCCTCCAGCCCATGCACTCTGTAACACCTTAAATTTAATTTCAAAATAATAAATTTTCGCAAATTCTGGATAATAAATTTTCACTTTTAAATACCACTTCAGTACGTGGTTCCATCAATATTTCAAAATAAAGTAAAGGGTTACAAGTTTATTATCCAATAACCACTACAGGACTTATTCAAATACAACAAATTTTAAAATACTGTTCTAAGTCCTATAGCAGTTCCATCCGCCTTTCATCGAGTTCGGTGTTGATCGTCTTGATTACTTGAAAAATAAACGTAAGGGTGAGTACCCTACACTACCAAAACGCAACAATCAATCATAGAATCTCACCTCCAAATCATTTAAAATACATTAAAACAAGTATAATCACAGTCAGCATTATCTCACAGTACATTTTAATTCCATAATTCACAACATATTATACCGGCGTTTCACGCCCATTCACAGCATATCATACCGGCGTTACCCGCCCCATTTACAGCATATTATACCGACGTTATACGCCCATTTACAGTACATTATACCGGCGTTAGCACGCCTCATTACAGCACATTATACCGACGTTAACACGCCCCATTACACGCATGCAACATTCATGCCTCACACGACACCCAATCCATATTTCATTCGCAATATACGGCACTAGGCCCATATTGATTTCACAGCACACGGCACATAGCCTACAATTATCCATAATACA